CATAGATAATCTCTTAAATTCTCTGCTTATGTAAAGTTGGGAAGGAATGTTAAAGATTTTGAGCAAATTTTATCTAATTAGAAAGGACTTAATTACTTTTGTCCTGAAAGATGAGCCTCTGGCTGATAATTTTATGAGGATGGTATGCCTTGAGCAAAACCACAGAAAATAGTTTTCTGCCAGAACTTAGAAAATAGAAGTTTCATCATATAGATTGTTATGAGTTTTGCACATGGGTAGTATTTATAAAAAATCTTTGCTGTCTAGCATAGACAGGCAATCAAAACTGAAATCAGAGAAAGAGTAGCAGAAGAACAACTGATAAAGCTTCCACATGTAAGTTCTTGCTTCTTCATTGCGAGACTTATTTCATGTTCCACCACTTTATTAACCAAGACATTCCCTGCCCACCCCATCACCCCCCACTGCCCCCCCGATTCCTCTCATTCTGTACCCGCAGCAATTTACTGGGATTCCTTCTGTGGATTATCTAAAAGCAGGGAAGGTATTCATGCACCATTATCATGCCTGTTGTCACATGAGATATATTATATGGGTTTTCAGGCAGAATATTTTGTCTTAGAGACAGAAATGAAATGTCTATTCTGTGAAAAAAGTGACAAGCTAAAACAGAAGCACAGCAGCAAAAGCTCATGCAGCTCCTGGGCTGGATTCAGCTCTGTGGCCACTGATAAAGAATTAATCATGCTTTATGGTCTTTGTGGATCTGTATTCACACTGGTGGTTGAATCTTTTTGCAATCATGTTAACTCTTACAAGGAAGTTTATTTATTGACTTATTTAAAAAAAACCTGCAGCCTGGTGCTGCATTACTTGCACAAATGAATCTGCTAAAGTGCAGGGAGCCAGTTGCTTAATTCAGAGTGATTGTTTGTGAGTACAAGTATCAGGACCAGGTTCTTATTCTGCCTATTTTCATTTTCTGATTGTGCTTTGAATTTCTGGTGTTTTCTTGAGATGTTAACAGACAGGTATCAAAGAGTTTAAGTCTAGTATTTGAACTAACTTTGACTGGTCAACATTTTTTGCATGGGCAAGTAATTAAATTTTATTAGACAGCCTGTGGTGTCTTTCCCCACTTTGTGACCGATGTTCTTTTTTTGATCATATGAGTGGTGGTGACTGGATGTTTAGTGGAAAGCGAGTTCTCTGTAAAATTCCACATGATGGATCAAAACCCAAAGTTCCCCCCACCCCAATCCATTAATCTCTTTATGGCTCCTTCATTCAAGAAATGTCATTTCAAACAAGCAAAAATTACTTGTGATCTAACACATTGATACACATTTTGATAAACGTAAGTTTATCCTGGTACAAATGCACTTATGTTCTCCTGCTTAGCACCACATGTCCACCATTGTTGGTTTACAATTCCCAAAGAAGTAAAGATTGCTCTTAGTGCCATGTGATGTTTCCTAGTCACGAATTGTATTAAAAAGAAAAGATAGGTAAAAGCATATATATATTTGAATATATATCTAAAAAGATGTATATGTAAATAAACATTTTTTAACCTTACATCTTTGTATATATGCATATTTGTACATATACACGTACATATGTTCCAAGCTTTCTTGAAGCCCTTGTTTCCAATAATGATTTTAGTCAAAGTTCCTAAATACGGATTGCATTTAGGATTAATGAAACAATTAGTAAGGCAATAACAATTTACTGTTATAACCGTATAACAAATACGTGCCTTTTGTAATAAACTTAAAATAGTGGTTTTAATTAGCAAATGGAATCCAACATTTTCTAGTCATCTCATTAAAATGAAATTAGATGCAGGGTCAGGAATTTTAATTCAAAACATTCACCTTTATTGTTGGAACACATTCCTGAATGAGTTCCTAGATAATTTTAGTAAATGTCCATGCCAATGTACTTGTAAAACTTGGGGATCAAGCTTGTTAACATTCCCTTCTCAAATTAGGACATCAGAAAAAATTCACTTCAGAAGGAAAAAGGGGATTGTATAAAATTACTTCAATCAAGCAAAGATTATTTCCATGTGTAACAGTGTAACTTAATTTACATTCCTACATCTCAAAATAATTGATGTAGTATTTTTAGTAATTACTGAATACTTACTTGCTACATGCAAGATCCCTCAGTTGAGGTAACTGCACTGCAAGCAGCAGTGGAATGAAATTTTACATTTGTGGCAATATGGAATATTCACATCACCTACTTTAAGATGTGCAACCCAGGGGCCTCTCTCCTGACAGTGCCTACCTCCCCTCCAACAACTGTGTAAGTTATCTAAGATGACTTATCTTCCTCTGTATCACATATTTCTACATTGTTTGTTGTGAAACACTATGTCCTTAGAGTAAGAAATTACATAATGCATGACAAAAAAAAGACTGGAATGCCTCAGTGCCTTCTATGCTGCCAATTAAAGTTTCTAAGGCAACTCAATCAAGGAAAGTAAAAAAAAATAGGAATGTTTCAGAAATAAGCACTTTAAGTGATAATGGCATGGATGAATTTCAAACAAATTTGCAGCTAAGTGAGGCTCATGCCTAATGGCTGTCCAGGGCTTGCTCCAGACCACTTTTGCTCTAGGTCTGTGAAGCTTGAAGGAAAAGACAATTTTTAAAGAGTTTCGAGGGAGACATTTCTCTGTGTGGATACTCAGGCTAAGCCAACAATCTGCACAGCTACAACTGGGGGCTTTGAGCGTGAAGTGTCCATAGACACCAGCCACCAGCTGCACATACTTGCCTACTTCTGCACCATCGCAGACAGCACAGAGTAGGAGTGACTTTTTCCAGCCACATTACAACACTTTTGACTCTTATTCAACTTGGGATAAATGGTGGGGCACACCCAAGTCACTAATCAGCTCCTGGAGTCAGCTCCACCTAGAGCTCCCACCCCCAGGGAGTC